CCCGATCATACACCATACTGAATAATGTTAGTTACATTGGATGTAAATGTAACGTCTACAGTTAATTTTATTACGAGTTTAGAGCTGGGTTGACTCCTCCAAGTCCTTTCCAATTCTTTCCTTGGTTAAGGGGCCGTGATGGTAGGTCTCAAGCTGAGGGCGTGGTCGGGGCCTGATAGAACAATCGATCTCATTACTTTCTCTTACTAAAATCCTATAGTTCTATACTTCACAAGGTACTTAGGGACTAGTTTTAGGTTAATCGTATTCATTTAGTAGGTAGGTAATTCTGTTATATGTCCTCAATAACATATTCTCTTACAACTAACAATCGCCAACAAAAAAGAACCAGGGTTACTTACAACACAACGTAGGTCCTATTAGACGATCACTGCCATTTCAAATATCTTATTAGAAGGTCTTATTAGACCGCACATTTAATTGATTATTTAAATTTTATATATTATTAAAGGATATTTATATATAAAAGAGGGAGGGGGGTACCGTTACAGGACCTAGTTACAAACATGTACAAAAACCCATAAAAATAAATCGAATAATTCGAGAAATCATCAAAAATCCGAGAAAATATAATTAATAATTTGCCCCTTTCAGTGTAATTTCACCCTTATAATATGATGTGGTTTTCTCGTTTTCAATTAAACCGTAGTTGGATATTATTTCACCAATCACTAGGTGTATAATGTACATTTAGATTTTGCCTTAATTAACTAAAGTGTGATGATGATTATTGAAAATTACTGAAAATCGTGCCATCTGAGACCTTACAACATTTAAATTGCAAGCCGTTACGACTCGCTAATAATGTATAAAAACTGTATAGAAACTATGTCTGTTTATCGTTAATATGATCGGCCTACATTGACTATCGGGAAGGAAGCGGATATAGTTTGGCATCCGACGTTTATAGCATTTAGTATGGTATTTTAAAAGATCTTTAATATAGATAACCTCAAAGACCTTATCCCGTTTACAAATATTAGACAAAATCACATAAACTCTTCAGGTCCCGAATTAGTAAAGTAGCCAAAGCGCTTTTATTATGGAAATCTGAAACAACAAAGGGTTTTGTTTACCTTAACTGTAACTGTCAATAATTTTAAATCTGGACTTATTTAAATAAGTTTTGAAGTCCCTCAAAGTTTCGTTTACTAAGTGAATGTTGTCTTACGCGTCTTTGCGTCGTCGTGGGCACGTATAAAGCTTTTTATTACCATTATAGTCGTGATTATGTCTCTTATCGACAACATTACTACTATTAATCTAACCTAACTTTAGTTTTGCTCTAACCTAACACACACAATTCATTAAACGTAAACACCAATATAATAAGACAAACACCATATAAAACAAGATATGCTTCGCAAGCTACATTAGCTTGAGAAGTTTATCTTTAAAAAAACATAGGCTTTTAAAAATAATGACAATAGAAAAGATTAAGTACTAATACATTTTAATTTGTTTACACATCAATTGGAAAATTAAAGTAATTGTTAACGTGACAATCATTATGTACCTATTAATGTCACTTATCAACACGAGTGATAGAACAATCGATCTCATTATTCACTCTTCTAAACAATAAGGAACAATTTCCAGGTAATTGAGAGGAATCAGGCGACTCGCAACACCACGTGTGTCTCATCTCTTTTCAACCATTCTTTGGAACTGAGAATAATCAATACTTCGAACATTCAGTTTGCGATTGTGAATGTTAAGCAACTTTCAGATGGGTGACCCGAAATTTATTTTCTTGAGTCTTTATCTTTCAAATTTACGTAAAAAATTTACTAGTCTATAGGGTCCGATATGGGATTAGAATGTTTCACCTTTCGCAATAGTTAGCTACTCGAGTTCTTAGCGTGACTGCAATCCAAGAGTACTTTGATTAAGTTTGTTTTTATAAAGATTATATTTATTTTTACTTTAACTTTGTCTTTCTCAACTAGGTACTTGTTATTTTCTCTGCTAAGGAAGACAATCAATATTCAGGTATACAAAAAAGTTTTAGTTCAGATTCTTTCGATTCACATGAAAATGTGTTCTAGTTATTCTTTGTTTAATTTAAAACTAAAAAATTTAGAGTAGGATAATATAAACCAACAAAATACATATCTAAAGAAAAATTTACTCTAACTGTCAGTAATTTCACAACGATTCGAGCACGAAGCATGAAGATGCTCTTTTTAAAAAAATTGCACAATCAGAAAATGATACATGATCACGTAAGAATTATCTTGAATTCCGATCTGTAATAAAAGTGTCGTCGTATGACCTCTAAATAAAATTAGAGAGTTATAAACGCACAATTCTACAGAGTACTGGCAATCTCGTAAATTGTAGCTCTGTTCTTATCAGCCAGTTGCACAAACGTCCATTTAATTTATCGTCAGTTTAAAGCGTCATTACCCATACAAATTTGACATTCATTAGATTTAAAAGTGTCATTAATTCTTAATGAACGTTTGTGCAACTGACCGTATATCCCTTATATTACTAACATCAAATATTGTGGACAAACGGAAAAATGATTTTGTCCCCTATTTTACCTCATAGACTAAAATTTTTCACAATTACTGAATTATTTATTTAATAATTTTCAAACAGCATCTCAAAAGTTAGTGTCATATTTGTAAAAAAAACTAGCTGTTTTCCTGACTTCCCCCATTTAAATTATACCTATATCACCCGCGTATGATGTAGTTTCCCGTAGATGAAAGATTTTTTAAAATCGGTCCAATAATTTCAGCCTATTCCCTTTTGATAATATAAGTATAGATAAAAGTTTATGCTATAGCATTATGCAGTATATTGTACATTATTTTACACAACTGGAAAGTAAACTAGAATTTTAAGAGATTGTAATTATAACATTTCATAATTTGATTATAAATATAGTGTTTTACACAATTGTAATAATATGTTGCAATTTTGAGTGCACTCTTTTTTTATTAATTGGAAGAACACGTTCTTCTCGATCGAGGTTACATAATAATATGTTATTAATTGTAATGGACTACTTAAGTAAGAGCAATTTATTTACTTAGTTAACAAGTTAAGATTAAGAAATATTTGAAAGATTTAATGGATATTGTTTGTTATCTACAAGTATTGAACATTTGCTCTTATTATAGGTAAATTATATTTAACTCGAGTAAACTTAGGGCTAGACGCTAGATTCAAATAGAAAATATCCCAGTAATATTGTGATGATTTTATATCTTTTTTTCAAAGGACGCCGTGAACATTATTTGGTCGTCGTGATGTGGTTCTTTGTATTGTATAGATCCTCATTATGATCACGGCGACATTTTTTGTGTGCAGTCTTGGATATAATCCTCTTCCCTCTGCTTCCACTCTAAGCGATCATAGAGCACTGCGGTGGTCTACCACAACTTGTACTGTCCGCTCTTGGACTACTTTTATGCATTCTAGCAATACGTTTCCTTGATATCTTTTTATTTACACATTATTCCGTAAAATGGTTCTCTACGGAATGTTATTTTGAAGTCCAGTTTATCTCTTGAGCACTAACAAGTAACTCAATAAAAACACTTTGACCATTTAAAAAAAAGACTCTGGTCCACTTGGAAGAAAAACATTAACCATGAATGGGCACAATAAAAACATTGTTATTAAATCTACTAGTGTATTAATTTAAATACATTTTGATTTGTATTCATATAATTATCGAACCTTCAGATTTCCTTGTCGGAATTGTAGCACATTCACTTAATACAAGTTTAAAAATAAACTCAACATACTGAGACATTGTTTATCGTAAACAACGTACAAACATTACATTTGGAAATATTTTTAATAGCTTATGTTAGTTATGCAGATAACTAAACTGAGAGTGTAGATAATTTAGAGCAATGCAAGCAATTCTATTACTAAATTGATGTTCTCTCCAGTCGAAATGCGTTTTTTGACTGCGATGTAGCATTTTGTGAAAAAATAAAGAATTTTATATACTTAAAGAAAAAAAGTTCTGTTTTCAGCACCTAAGTACGCTCTTAGGTGCTTAAAACAGAACTTTGACTTTGTAGACTTCCGTGGCTGAAGACTCGCACGCCAGTTTCAAGGTGTCGTCATCTGTGAAGTCCTGGGTTCGATTCGCAGTCGGGATAATATAGAAAATGGAATTTGTCTTTTATAGTCTCAAGTCTGAATGTTGTTGTACCGTCGTTATTTCAGATATTCATTACATAAATGCCATAGCTACTTTATTAATGCTTTATTTGCGATCTACGCAACACATCTAATATTTATTTATATTTATATTTAGATGGCCCGGTGTACTTTGTATCACCTCTTACCGTTTAAACTTTCCCTGAATTACGACAAATACCCTGAAAATTAAATATTATATATAATATTATATTTAAAAAAAATAATAAAATAGGTAATTGATGCGAATGCGTATAGAGGTGAACATTTGTCCTTAATTTACAAACTATGTGTACTTTATATTGTCATATTTATCTTCATAATTAACGATACTAGATTCCTTGTCACTTATCGTCGAACTGTTGAAAGAATGACCGTCGGTGTCCTTTACTTTAACCTTAAAGACACTCGCTTGCCTAACCTGTACGTGCTGTGACAACGAAAACCATTACAACCTCTTAGGATTACGAGCGAACATAATATGCCACTAAGAATGTATGCCACTCACTTTTTAAGAGAACGTATTTGCCATTCATTGTTACTATAGTGTATACAACAAAACCGCTAACACATATTTACAATATTTGTGTACTTCATTAAAGGGCCTTTTGTCAAAGTACAAGTAAAAAAATATTTAGTATATGCTCTCGAAATTCTGATGATACATCTAATATAGGTAGTTCCTTTAACAATTTCTCATTCCATCCAAAATAATACCAAAACAGCGCAAGCTGGCGTATGCAACGCCAGTGTTAATTATTTTTAAAGTATAACAAATAATGATAATTTAGTTTACTAAACTAGTCTTTTTTGTACATTGTTACAGATTGGAAAAAGACAAACGCGGAGTAATCGACACAAAGAGTCTAAATAAAGTGAGTAAACAGACAAAAATGAAGACTGCAACGTATCTACTGGTGCTGTGCGCGTCGCTGGTCGCCGTGATGGCTGCGCCGGCGCCGGAACCTGAACCGGCGGCGAACCCGCAGCCGGAAGCGAACCCGCAACCGAACCCGGACGATCGGCCGGAGATCATCGAAATCATCGCCCCAGCAGCCAGCGCACAGGTCTGCTTTTTATTTTATATTCTATCTGGTATGTGATTTAAAAAAAATAACGTATACGGCAAGAGAACCAAAGATTGCTCACTACATTTGAAGTTTAATAAGTTACCTGACAAATTTGAAACAGGATAATATTGTAATCTGTATTATTGAAATTGTATTGAAACTTAAAAAACAATCAACAAATAAGAGTTCATTATTTTTTAAACTATGGCAAGTAAAATCATAATCACCATCGATATAAAAGGATATGAAGACCTTTGGTCAAACAATGCAAGATATACAGGCAATAACAAGTTACGAATTCTACTCCACTAGCTCGATTTACCACATTATGACCACAAATATGATTTTAATAAAATTATACGAAACTTTGAAATTTTCTGAAAACTCGTTTGTAGACAAGTAAAGTAAGCTCTCTGGTTTGAGTGAATGTCATGAAATATATTTTTCAACTTTTATTATGCTATAAAATAATCCATTAGAACTTTTAGAAGCTAACCCTACTGCAAGCAAAACCGAAGGTTAAACCGAACATAGAAAATAAGCGACCCCCTTACCCAGCCAGCTGTACCAACGAAACACTAATAAACTTACCGCTAAATAATTATTGCTACACGTGCATGTTTCTAAAATATTTTTTACTCTACACCTTATGAGCCTAGAAAAATTACTTACTTATTCTGTTTTCTGCGTATAGCCTAATACAAATACGAGATAAACGGAAATAATTCGATATAAGCCTGGAATATTTTTAATCGAGTTTGTGAGCCAATTAAAAGAGACTATATTTAAGAATCCATCACATTTTAGCTACGGAAGATATAAAAAAAACATCAAGTCAAAAACCTGCATTTTCTTCACGCAAAATTACTAACACGATTTTTTTCACAAATTTTGGTTTTATTTATCCGACAATGAAAATTACTGAAATCCAACTAAAAAATTAACAGGAAATAGTGATTTTTATTAAACTTTATTTTTTACTTGATTTTTTTTTTGTTGTAATTTAATATAATAAAACTTTTATTTTAATATTTATGAGTGGATTTTAATGATATTTAGTAGAATATGTGTTTAATTCAAAAGTCTGCTGCATATATTGCGTGTTATATACCAATATTCCACGGGAATATTGGTATGCAATATTCCCATGGAAATTTTCATTGGATTCAAAACAAAATATACTTAACGCAATATAGTAATTTCGATTGAAGTCGTATTTCATTGTTAAAATTATTGATTTTTTTACAAATATGTTTTTTTAATATTTATTGTCCGTGTTATATAAAAAATATGAGTTTCCAAATATAATATAAGGAAGATTTATGTATTTCATGGAAGTTACATAAGTAACAGTGTGAAATTACGTAGAAGTCACTTTATATGTATTTTGCTTATCATGCCATTGACAAATTAAAGAAATTTTATTTTTTTTACTAATTATCCGAAAAAAAATGTCGTTGGATTAATTCATATATTAAAAAGGAAATATATGATACCCTCATAATAACAAAAAAACAGCTGTTATGTTTTAATGTTTGATCTCCATACTGAAAGTTGGTATTTGTATCAGGCTAGTAGTCCAACTGTTTATTTCAGACTTCGTTTTTTTTTCTTCGAATTCAACCAATAACCAAAAAGTTTTTATTTGCATTTTTAAATAATAAGATATATGCTTCGACCAGAATATACATTTTTTTAAAAGTACAAGTAAGCTTTGGTTTTTGCCATATTCTTTCTCTCTTGCTTTATATTTTCATTTAAGTTGGTTACCTATAACTAAAATAGTGACCTAAGAGTTTGCGAATTTAATACCCATAGGAACATTAAAGCAAGGTATTACTGAAACTAACGTTACTTACCTCATCTTTAGTTCTCATAACACAAACACTGAATGAGGGGGCATAGGTCAGGGATGCAACAATCCTATCGCATGACTAATTAGGTATAGGCGTTTTGTGAATAAATTTAATTCTTCTCACCTGTACCGACAATTACCATTCATTCTCTTAAGAGATACTTTAAGTCCATTTTGGGATTTTGTATTATCTAGAACTATTTTATTAGATATAAATTAAAACACATTATTATCAGATGCAAAATATCGGCTGTGATACTTTCCCTACAATCATGCACATCTATTCTGTTTTCAGGAGACGTTAGCAACGCTGAACCTCGGTGCTCCTGGCTCCGAACTGAGTGAAAGAAACAAACGGACGATCGGCATCTTAAGACAACTATTTCCCACATTAACGCAGGTAAACTTAAGCTGGTAAAATGGATATTCCAGAAATTATCTCCTCTAATATGGTATTGGGCCGATGAAAATGCAAACAATAATATTTTTCCGCAGAAAAAGGTTTTTATTCTTCACAGAGCACCTAGTCTTCGATTATCTATGCTGTCCTAAGGTCGGTGTATGTTCTAGATAATCGAAAACAAAGTACAGCAGATTACAAGTGCGGTACTGCAAGCATTTGGCCCTGTTTTCCTTCGAGCCTTCCTCGGGGGCAACAAAAGTGGTGGCAACATGGCAGGGGGGGGTGAGGTCATCGAGTTATCAGATGATGACGTTGATGATGATGATGATGACGAGGAGGAGTCGACGACTTCCACTGCCACAGAAACCACTACTACAGAACCTGAAGTCAGAAGAAAACGAGCTATATTCTTCCAGCCGGTATGAAGGTCATCCTCGCGCACTAACACCAGCCTGCCCGGAGACGGCAGTGCGGGCGTGCGCAGACCGCACGCCTTCATCGTCATCGTCACCTCATTTTTATATAACATACATCCTTCATCGTAACCACTTCATCCATCCAAAACTTACTTTACAGAGCGCGGTCGCTGATGAGAACCAACTCCTTTCTGGAGCAGAATCTCAACAAGCCGAAGTGCGGGTAGCGTTTGGTGAAGGTCAAAGTCAAGATCAGCAAGTAGCGGCCAGTGAAGACCAACAGGCTAATTCGGCAACTATTGATGAAATTACCCTTGATGATGCTGACAACAGCGAAGAAAACAGGAACAAACGGTAGGGGGCAGGATTTGAAGCATTCCTGCCTATACAAGACGGTCTAATGTCGCTGATTGTCTGAAGAATTACTACTTAATTGCAATTTACTAAATTATTAACGATCCTTTGTTCTTAAGTATCAATCCAATGAAACTTAAGTGTACGTGTTGTTAGGTGCAATACTTGTATACTAGAAACGTTACTAGCTTATGCTAATCAAATAATAAATTATCGGCTACAAACTTACAATTTCGCTTAGGCTACCAAGTTTTGCAAGATTCTGTAACAATGGATGTAGAGCTATTGGATGTGAACACAAACTATTGTTGGTTTTTACTAAAATTTTCAATTCGCACGTTTCGATTTCTTCAGCGTGCCGTACCTAGAAACACGATCGCATCAACTGTCATGTAACAATTGCGTGTGAGCATAAATTGTTGAACGTTACGAGATTGTTAATTATAATTTTAAATTCGCCATGTGTACTACCACACCATTTTGACGACAGACATTACTTTTGAACCTAAACCTCATTGATTCAATCCATTACATTATCTTGCACAATGTCATATGTCGTTTATAAACCATTATCAACATAAACTACTATTTCAAAAACTTACGACCTTCTTACTATACATACATAATTCAACACCAATATGCATGTTTTTCTTTCATTTTCGTTGATGTATTATTTCTTATTATTTAAGAAAAAGGGCCTTGTCTAATTGAAGCGTTTTTTTTTCAGATTTCTGAGCTTCGGAGGCCAAGGAGGAGCCTCCGGCGGCGGTTCTGGTAACTTCCTATTCGACATCGTCAGGGTAAGTAAAAAGCCACAAATCTCTTTTCCACGATAAATAAACATACAACCAAAATCCTCATTTATACTATACTGTTAATAATTAACTTTTCTATTCTCCATATCACAACATTCTTTTTTAACTTATTTAATCTTATCCTATTCATATGAACCTTCAACACTATGTTTATCGGTATTTTTTTTTATATTTATATATTGGAATGGGGTCTTAAATTATAATACCTATATATTTACTGCTATATTGATATTGATTTCACATCAAAATATAGTCCTTCCATCACAAGGTTTTAAAGACATATCAATAAAGAGAGGTAGATAAATATTGTGAATATCGGTACGAGCAAGAAGGTTTGCATTACAGCGTCCAGCGGAGGCGATGGCAAGAGCTGCAGGCACTGCGTTCAGACTATTCGCAGGGACAGACTCCCTTAACGTCGGTCTCACTGCCTCTCACACGGCCTCACTGGACCCTAATGACCCACAAGTACATCACACTACAAGCACATACTCGTAGCAAACACAGACGTAGAATTAGAAAACGTTTCGCTGTAGGGCTATCAGAGCTTGTTGTAGAAGTAAATAGTTTGGATGCTCGTGGTGTAGAAAACGCAGTATAAAGTATAACAAGATCCTTCAAACCTTTATTACCTGTCCTTCTGGTTTATTGTCGTATACATTTGAAGCTACAGGTAGTTGAATCCCTATTATATTTAATATAGTTTATTGTATTATTATATGTATTTTGTAAATATTTATATGCTTTAAAAGCTTAATTATTTCCCGCTTCCTGTCATAACCCACTATGCTTAAATTTCATACACCCTTTATTTTAATAACTATGTCAATCTAAAATCCTTAGTATATTATACTGTTATTGTGTACAATAAATTGTTTGTTAATAACATGTATTATTTTAAAACTTCATAGCGATTTTTTTATTTCACTTTTATAATTTTGTGTTTGTTATAGAAGCACTTATGTATTTTGTTTAAAAATGTATAGACTTTAAATAACATAGTTCGTTGTATTCTGTTATAGTCGCACAAGAAATAACTGAATAGATAATTATTTTTTTCTCAACATGTTTAATAAAATTATCAATATTCTAGCTCGTAGCTGGTTCGTCATCGGGCTCGTCGGGTGGTGACGCAGCAGCCGCCGACGGTGACGACGCTGGCGCCGCCAAGGGCGACAACCTCACCGAGGGCGTGCCCGGCCCCATCACCCGGCTCTTCATCATTGCCAACCGCGGCATCGCTAACCTCATCCAAGACCTAATCCTCCGTATCGCCCAGACCTCCGAAAGAATAGTCAACTTCAAGGCGCGACTCATCACCTCCATCATATAACGCGCCTGCGTGTAGAACAATATTTTAGTTTAGACTGTAGAGTAGGAGGATCTGGAAATGGGTGGACGTGACTATGTCGACACTGTGAGTGTCTCTTGTATTGGTAATGTTTGTAATTGGCTAAACGATTTCTAAAGTAAGGTGCTTCAAATTGTTTTATTGTTGTGTGTTGAACATATTCAGTGCAGTCGCGTTAGCATATGTTATCACTAAAAAAGTAGTTCCGATGGCGTTTCTGTGTTCTATAGCCATTCGAATGTTAAGAAGTGTAGTAATATCATTTTTAATAACATTATTGTAATAGAAGATTTAATTTATGCCAAGCCATGTCCTCTCATCTGTAGAACCAATAATAGTGAGTGCTACGCTGGCTGGCCCACCTGATAAGTCGAATTAATTTCCTTTAGTTCAGACTTTAATCGAAAGATACTCATTTATGGATTCGGAAGGTCTACAGCACATGTCGTTTTCTATTGTTAGAAAAAGAAAAAATGTACTTTAATTAAAATAATTTTATGAGGCTTGTACATAGACATGTCGTGTAGACCGCCAGATCCATGAACGATGTTCCTTTTGACAGGCCTAGGCCTTAATATAGTAGTGGCCCAGGTCAAGGGTTGGCCCGAGACGGCGGCGTGGCGCGGCCAGCGGGCCGCCCGGCGCCGCCGCCGTTCCTGCTCAATGCTTTTTTTATACAATTGTGACATTTTCGATTCGTTTTTATGTTTGTAAATATGTATTATAGCGGAATTTTGTATAAAATAAACAACTACATAGTTAATTTAAATGTTTGTATTATTTCAACCTCTCAGGGACAAGTCTTTGATAAAGCATTTAACGAACTTTCACAAACGCTTTATTAGGTTTTCATATCTAATAATATTGCAATATCGATGTATTTGTAAAACTTTTCAATATTTTTAAGGTCCTGTACCAATAAAAAAAAACCCTTATAAGATCACTTCTTTGTCTGTCTGTTCGTATGTCATAGCCGATTTCCTTTGAAGCAATGTAAGTTGGCGATCCAAAAATGTTCATATAAAACATTTTTGGATCACCGACTAATAAACTTGAAACATGGCGACCTTTTTTGAAGATAAATTAGAAATAAAAAAGATAGGAAAAAGCCTTGAAAATTGAAAACTATGTAAATGTAACATATGAAACGCTTATATTTTTGTAATAAATGCGAATGCAATGAAATTAAATAAAAAACAGAAAATACTTCACAAGTATATGAAGTCTTTGGTTTAGATAATTTTTGGTAGTAGATTACTAAGAAAAATCAAACTACAACAATCTAAAGCATCTTTCAATTCAACTATCAATACATTAAGGCCCCGAACACATGGCGTATTTTAAACGCGTAATAAATTTTACTGTGAAACTGGGATCAAACGACGATGTAAAATGCAATAAACTTAATATTCACCAGAGTGTCCCTTAATATTTATTTCCCATAAACTCTCGCTTTAAATTAATATGTAGTATTTAATTAATAAGACTTTTTCAGTTGTTATGATATAAGGACATTGATATATTGTAATATAAGGACGTTTTTAAATATTTATTGTATATTATAATACCTACTCTGAGAATAGTTATATTCATTAAAGACAAGTTTTATGGAAAAAGTCAATCTTCGAATGACATGAATGATATGGTTCAATTAATCAAATTGATAATAATATGTCCATCATTAAAACTGTCATGTCGCCATATTTGTTTACATCTTGTGCCACTTTAAATAAAACGGAGTATACTACAGCGCAGAAAACTCGCGTTCCTGAATTGCGCGTCGTCTGTGCGTTTAAAATACGCCATGTGATGGGGGCCTAAGACCTAAAATTGATTGGATAATTTAAGGCATATGTAAAAACGTACTTTAGCCTTTAAATTTTATAATCAATAAATATATTCATTCGTTCCATGCTTAAGTTAGAGCTTTGAAAAAAAAAACATAACCATCAGAATCACTCATTATATTACTACGAGTAACTGTTGAAAAAAGAATCCAAGAATTTAGCTATGGAGCCAACATAACATCGTCTTCTAGATGAAGCTGATGTGAAAAGCGGGAGAGGTTTTTTGGTAGCGACAGATACAGGATGTGACTTCATCGTCTTCTGCATCAGCTGTGTTCGGGGCTCCAAAGAAGTTGGTTTAGAGAGCTGTGTCTCCATAAAACTCTCAAATAGTCGTTCGCCATATTTAAAATGTCTGTTAGCATTATAAAGTAATGAAAGATATTTAATCTTAATTATTTTAGGTCTATGATGCGATAATCTAAGCAGGATGGCAATATAGTAATAATATATATTATGTTAGAGTTCGAGACAGAACTTTTGTTAACTGCTACCTGAATGAACAGGGTAGTCAGATTTTCCACTGGACATTAGTCAGAAAGAGAGAGAAGATCGTGGTACCCTAACTTTAATTATCTACACACGCGTGCGTAGTTAGCGCAGTAAGGGAACATAGAACGATACGACAGTTTGTTTAAAGCCAACATTTATTTGTATAGGTCGGTAGAGATAGGAAAGAGACGAATAAGATATGTAGCGCAACCTTCTCTCCCTTATTAAGCTAGGAACGTTTCTGCTGCATAATGTATTCTCTTTTGTCCTTATGTATTCTCTACCAATAAAAACGTATTATAATTGATCGTCTAAACCCGCATTCTATTACACGAGGAGAAGTACTAGCAAGGGAGTTTCATTAATCGTTCCCACCTCTATTACCTTTCCGCATGCTGTACATGGACTAACTTAACGATAAATAAAAATGACCTTTGTTTTAACTATAGTCTAATAAAACTTTTTAACTACCTTATTAATTGCAGTATCATTTTCAATCGAAGATACTGAATCCTAACTTGAAGTTTGTGAAACTTACCGGTGAAATCTATGTAGCCTTATAGAATGAAACGTGCCCATAAATGATCTTTTTGTAAATTAAATAGGAGTTGATAGAATACCAAACATTAAATAATTTGAATAAATACTTGTCTTTAGTCAAAGATTAAATAGTAAGTATATAAATTGAAAACGAATGTAATAACTAGCTAAAACTTTTTAATTTTGTGTTTCAAATAAGTATGTATCTTTGAATTTTGTCTGTCCTCTAACTGTCAAAACTCAAATCCAAAGAGTATATTCACATATAGTGTCTCACCGAAACTTGTTTTAAAAACCGAAACCGAAACTTCCTTTCGAGGATCATGTTTTGAAGAGAAAAATAAGGAAAACGTTGTCTTTATTTTTTATCCGACTGTAAAGGAAAGGTTGTTTCACTTTTATATAATCACAACAATTTACACTTTGACTTGACAGTTGTCTATAGTTGACCATTGCGATATGAAAATCGATATTTACTATTGTTATTTTGTGCCATCAGATTCTGGTACACCTATAGTTTCTTAGATCGAATAATTGTTTGATGTTTACTACCTATTTTCTGCAATATCACATGCATAACAAAACTTGCCGAATTCAAAATAAATTAAACCACAACCCACAACAATCATAACCACGTCATGATTAGCCACGAAGACACGGCAGATGTCTTCGTCACCGATTGGATGGAATTCAACGCACTAAACAAACCAACCGATCAGAGTGTGAGAACGCTCGAATGCAGTTTTAAATTTTGGTCATAGTTCCGCAAGGTTTGACACCGAATCCGAAACCCGTTTTTCGCCGAAACTGGACCGAAACCGAATATTCAGTTGGATACTTTTTGCATATCTAGAACACGACTGCCAAAATCGAAATAAAAATGAGAGAAACAAGTTTTATTTAAAAAAATCTCACTGCAATCTGGGAACTTAGATACAAATATTCTGCAGAGCAGTCCTCTGATTTCAATCAGAGTTTTGTTTAGTCAAACCATATTACAACTTGTTTCATCATTTTCAGTTCATTTTTGACATTCGTAGCCAGTATTATTCGCGATGATGTAATGTTTCTATTTATTCCCTTTAAATGCCTATCTGTTAAGTATTTCAAAGTAATAGTGGATACATCTTTTTGGGGAATCATGTATTTACTAGTGTAATAAGAAAAGTATTCCTTGGATTTAACGAAAGAAGCATAAAATTATTACACCTGTGAAATACTGTGGACTTCTCTTCATTTCTACACCGATTAGATTCTTCTTTCTTTAGCGACAACAAAATAAATATTTCTTATCTGAAGGCAGGCAATATCTCTTTGCCTAAAAGGTGAAAGTCAAATTTTGCCTAAAATGTTGCGATTTTAAAAAATCATTAACTGAAAAACAATCGATATAATGTTCGCTTGCAAAGAAGGCCAATTTTTTTTTTACTTATGTTAAAAACGCGCGTGTTAATCTTAAGAAGTCTCAGCCTAAAACAGAAGAAGGAAAAGATCTTAATATGACTGTGTAACTTTGGTCCTTGTCTTCTTCTTCTTCTTCTTGTCATTAAAATAATTTCAACTGTCATGTGTCATGTTTATTACATTGACAATGACATTGACATTTTAATGAAATTGTATTGTTGTGACGGGTCTTATAAATTGCTTTAAATTTATTTATTTATTTCTGATTAAGCTTAGAGTAAAAATTATTTGAACAACAATGACTCTATACGAGGGTATTGCTTTAATTCAGGAGAAGCAAGCTGTAGTGCTTGATTTGGGCACAGACTATACTAAGTGAGTAATACCTTTTTACTATAGATTAACCTTTTCTTTCCAAATATAACTTTTTTGAAATCTATATTTAGTAAGTTAACATCGATATAGACACAAATTGTTTAATTTTATTGTTTTTCGAGGTTTGGTTTTACTGGAGAAGCCGCACCTAGATGCATCATTCGTTCGGAGTTCTGGTGTCCAGCAGAGCGACGGGACAAACGTGTATACGACTACCACACAGCCGAGGAACTATATGATAATCTTGTGCACATGTTACACTTGTTATACTACAGGTCAATAAGTTATCTAATGATAATATATAATAACATTTTAGGATTCCAAACCTCGAAAGGAAAAAGCAAAACACTTTTAGAACCACTTTGTTGACCATCCATTTGTCCGTATGTCAAGAGCCTTTTTCTTGTGAACTCGTGAAGATACTAAACTGTAATTTCTATTAAATACTCAGGTCTACTGTCCCTTGCAGCTGTAAAAAAAATCAAATGTTTAAGTCAACACAATCAAAAAATACTGCCATTTATGCCACAAATTCCAAAGGGAATCAAAACCTACAGGGTACTTCCCGTGAACTCAGAATGTTGGAATTGGTTATGAAGCAAGTTGTCATATAGCACAGAACAATTGTGAAAACCTTATTTTTTTAGATACATCATGAAAATAAAAATATTTTAATAAATATTTTTGTACTGAACCATCAGTGAGCGATTCCGCCTTGCAATTGGCCAGTTTTTCTTATGTTATGTGAATATTTTTTCTTTTTCAGACATGTCTTAGTTAATCCTAAAGAACGTAAAGTGGTTGTGGTTGAGTCCCTTCTGACTCCTACATTATTTAGAGAAACATTAGCTAAAGTCCTCTTCACACATTATGAGGTAATTTATTACAATATATCTACAATTCACCACTTAGAAAGCCATTACCAAATAAATTATAAGGTCAAATGCAAATCTGATATGAATGAATTATGTACTGAGTCTTTTTTTATTATAACTATAACAAATGATTAAGACATGCCAGTAATGTCTTTTGCCCTATGCCACCTCGTAAGTGGCCTTTTTTACCTGATTCCAAGGAATGGTTATGTTTTTCATGCATATCTTTTAATTTCCTTTATTACCTCAGACCTTCAGAACCTCTAAATGGATTTAGATAATTGAGGCGTTGTTAGATTTGTCTGAGTAGCCCAAGTGTTCTTAGATAGGTAATGTTAACAAAAACGGATATGGAGGCTGTATGGCACCATTATATTTCAAGATATTTTTTTTGTTTCAAATACTACAATATGGGTAACAAATTAAATGACTCTATACAAAGATTCCAAAGAATTATATCATGAATACATGAATATAATACTAATAAAAATAGTTTCAAAATATGGACTTTGTTCTTTCACTTTCTGGACCACTCTAGTAATTTATCTAACTAAAAATATGTTTTTTAGGACACACAGTTAGAGGTATACATAAAGAGAGAATGTTTTGCCTTGTTATTCAATTTCTTGTCACCAATTACATGTTATATTTTTTTATATTATTCCAGCCTTTTCAGTTACTTATTTTTCATACAGGCAGATTTTTTATTTTAATTGGACCAGGATACACATTATTAAAATTAGACATAATTCGTATTGAAGCTGTAATTTACATAAACAAAGCGTACAGCCAATAAGTAATCTAATATAAAGATGATTTTATTTATAGGTTTCTGGTGTAGTGTGGGCAGATAGTCCTCGTCTTTGCGCTATTACCTTGGGTATTCCAATTGCTCTTGTAGTCTCTATTGGAGCCAGGGAGGCAGAAGTTTGTGCAGGTATTTATTTACTATAAATTTAAGTATTACAAGTAATATGTCATACATAAAACAAATCACTTGAGTTAAAATAAATATGAAATGATATAAATAACTATTTTCTCATGACTTTTGCCTGCATATATTAACCTTTGTCACCACATATGATGCGTATCCGTAGGTGAAATATTTTTTAGAAATACTTTTGGAAACTATTTGATGTAAACAACAAATAATCTGATCTTACATCTTTGTAATATTATATTTACTTTTATTATTATTTATTTATAATGCAATAGCCTACAGTCCTTTTCCTTAGTTGGTATAGTTACCTTTCGCTTAAGGTTGTCTGGTCATGATTGCCACCTTAAAAATAAGGATATCTTTTGCGTTATAATTCTATTTGTTTTATTTCAGTACAATAAAGTGTATTGAAGTTGTCAAGGAGCTTTTAATTTATACAAGACTATGAAATATGATAATCCAATTGCTTTTTCCAGTGGTTCATGCATCAGTAGTGTTACGAGCTATTCAATCGCAACCATTAGCGGCTCGAGCAATACACGATGAGCTCTCGCGGCTGTTAGATGAAGACAATAATTCAATATTACATTTGCCGGATCACATTATTGAAGATATTAAAGGTAAATACATATGTATTATAAGTATAGACATCATGAAATATGTTATCTTATTGAAAAATACTTTAAAAAAGTGCGAGTCGGACTCGCGTATGAACGGAAAACGACCAATAAATCACGTTTGTTGTCTGGGAGCTCCCTTAAATATTTATTTTATTCTGGTTTTTAGTATTTCTTGTTGAAGCAGCAACAGAAGTACATCCTATATGAAAAATTTTAAATTGTCTAACTGTCATGATTTACGAGATACAGCCTAGTGACAGACAGCGAAGTCTTAGTAATAAGGTTTCCGTTTTACCCTTTGGGTACGAAACCCTAAAAATTTCCTTATGAATAAAAAATACGCCCCAAAATGCTACCAAATGTCTTAGCGAAACTGTCGGACCTTATTATTAAAACTACTGAAACATAATTTGTGAAAATTTCACAGTGACAGACGGACATCTGTCACTGTGAAATTTTCACAAATTATGTATTTGTGTTGCTGCTATAAAAATGAATACTAAAACATACATACATAAAGTTTGCATTACCTAATGTGAGGCATGTTTATACACTAATAAATGTAAATAGTGAAAAAGTTGAGTTGGTGGAATCGACAAAGTTCCTTGGTATTACACTAGATTCCTGACTGCAATGGGATCCATCCAAGTAGACTGAGTTCTGCAACATTTGCTGTTAAGAAAATTAGACTCTTGACAAATGTTGAAACAGCAAGATTGGTATATATCAGTTATTTTCATAGTGTAATGTCTCACGTATGGTCTATTGTTGTGGTTCTGCGGCTAGCATTCAAGATATTTATATTCTACAAAAGAGAACTGTCCGCGCTATATATAATTTACGGTCTAGAGAATCTCTCAGATAAATATTTAAAGAAATAAATATTTTGACTGTTGCTTCTCAATACATCTATGAAAATATTATGTACGCAAGAGAACATTATGATTCCTTCACAAAAAAAAAGTATTGTTCATAATCTTAACACAAGAAATAAAAATAAACTTGCTGTTCCAAGCTTCAGACTTCTGAAAACCAGAGGATCATTTCTGGGTAAATGCATTGCTATGTTCAATAAAGTTCCACAAAATGTAGTTGACCTACCCATAAATAAATATATTATACAGAACATACTTATGAGTAAAGACTATAATAAGTTGATGATTATTTTAAGGATCGCAATGCATGGATTAATAGCCTACGCTTTGTTCTATAAAGACTAATTACATGTTCAACCTATGTTCTACAGACTTTGAAAGTTGTATTTATTATTGTGATAATACATATTATTTTGGTAATGACATGATTTATGTAAATGTCATTACTTATGATAAAAAGCTGGTAAGTTTCTTTCGCTTGTTCTTCTTGTGAGCTAAAAGACGTCCTGATCATGTGGAAGGGAAAAATAAATTTTTTTGGACGATTCAAAAGCGCTTGTAATAGCCTACTTGAATAAAGATATTTTCATTTAATTTCATAAAAACTTTTTTAAAGATAATACTACGGAAACCTTCGTGCTCAAGTTTGAGTTGTACTAGTCCATTTTTTACTATATATGTTACATGTACATTATTAATCACCATCAACCCTTTACGTCCCCATTGCAAGAGTTAAGGCATTCCTTATGGATTATGGAGGATGGGCCATGACCCTCCACACTGGCACAATATTCATTATTGTGAATGAAGAATTTAAGAAATATAATATTGTTACATGGTGTAAAGTGAAGGCATGCTTCGTCGGTCCTCGAAGCCGAGCCGTTGAATGGTTAGAGGGCAACGGTCCCACCCCGGCTAAGAGCGTCCAGTACCCGGTGGCGGGACGCGCCGCCATCACCGTGTCCGGGCGGACGAGGGAACTGGCCGCCGAACCATTGTTCGCTAGAGACAACGACATGGCCTCGTTGCCTGATATAGTTCTACAATGTATCATTCAGGTGTGCTGTTTACATTGTTGAAATTAGCCACTTTCTAGAATGGCTACAGTTAAGCTGAATTTTCAATCATCACCAGCTGGGGCTTAGGACATCGAATCAAATAGAATAGGTAGAATGGGCCTTGACCCACCACGCTGACCCAGTGCAGAATGGTGGGTATTAACGACTGCAGATGCAGCCGGAATCTACCAATTCTGGCCATAAACGAACTATTAAAATTTATGAGTCGTATTTCAATGACCATAAGGTGTAAAACGATGGCGCGATATTATCATCTTCTTATGACCATTATTATTACCGACCGTTTTTTATGGCCAGAATAGGGATGATGACTGGGTAAAAAAAATACAATTCTATTTAGTCCGTCAGTCAGATAATAGAAAAATATTAGATGCGTATTTTTTTTTTACTTCGATTTAACAAGAAATAAGTTAGATAACAGGCATTAAAGTTGAGGAATGGGGACTCGCTACGTCACAGTTGAGTAGAAAACGTACTTTAACGTGACGTCATGCGAAATTTCAACACAATGTAACGCCGTAATTTTATGATTACGAAAAGAATAAAAAAATACGTGTTTAATATTTTTTAACACTATCTACCTGACGGATAAACAAATAAAAATTAGTCATCATCCCTATTGGTAGATTTCACTTGAAATAAAACAATCGCTTCCTTTTTTAAGAATTTCCCAGAACATTGTGCTCAACTTCTATTTTTTTTTTATCCAATAACCTGGGAATATCTATTGTCTAACAAAATATGATTTTAAAAACCCTATTAAAACGTTAATTTTGTGTGAACAGTGCCCTATAGACGCTCGTCGAGCTTTGGCCGAGAATATATTGGTGACAGGAGGTACGGCTTCAATGCCTGGACTGAAGGCGAGACTTGCACATGAATTACGACATCTTGTCACTCAGCCACCTTATAGGTAGGTGCAACGTCATTCAACTAATGATATAAATAAGAAATAGCCACTTTACCACAGACCTAATTCTTCATCATCATCAGACCGTTTACCGTTTTCCTCATGGATAGCATTAAAATAAAGATAACGAGTGATAACGCGATCCCAGTGCTAATTGTAAAGTGTTAATGGTAGATGCACCCATCACCAACAGATAACGTATCTTTTAATGCACAGAGAGATTCAAATAAATACAATATCTTTGGATACCATGACTGGCCCTTGTGAAAGACACATAAAACAGTGACGGGTTCGATGATTAGGCAAATGAATAAAAGGCTGACTAAATTCGATTTATTTGAGGTTAATAAGAAAAACTGTTGTGAACAAAAAATCTATATAAAAACAGTTCGTATGATTACCTGAATAATATAATTAAAATAGTTAAATAGAACAAATACATATCCCGTTTCTGGTGTTTCCATAACATATATTTGTAGATATTTCACGAAAATATATGTTTACATTTTTGTTTAAATTATAACTTTTTTATTATTAGATTAAATTATCATGTACTCACCAGATGAACACCAGATTTATACGAACTGTCATTCATAAGGAGCATATTAGATTACTCAAAATTTCAAATTACGAAAGATGAATAATAAAAATAAATGATGTTGAGTTTCCGCATGTAAAATTTTTGTTCAAAGACAAAAAGTTTCCATGCGGAAACCTAGGATGAAGTTGACGGTCGGTGCAACACATACCGATTGCGCTAACAATTGCGCCATCGAACTCGTTACTACATCGATACAACTTGTATCATTAGATTAATCGAAATAAAAAACAAAGCATAACCTACTTCACTTACACATTGTCCAAAAATTTGATTATTTACACATTGATTTCTAGTATTTTCACGCGCATTATCCATAAATGAAACGACTTTTAAACGATTTCATCGCGTTTGTCTTTAGTTTTATTGACGTGTGTTCACATAATACTTAAACCGTTGAAAAGTTGTTTTTATTTAATTTCAAATTTTTAACACACCGCTGATGATTATGACTACACCAAATTGTATCACTTTCCCGATCGCCAAAGAACTGATAATGACCAGTAATGTAAATTAATAGTCGCCGAACAGTAAGAATTTTGCACAATGATTCTGCATTTCTCTCTCATTTCTTTCACTCATACGCAAACATATTACTATTGCACTTGCACAGGTGCATGTAGCCAATTATGTCATAGTGAAGTGAACATAAAATATTTAGGATAATTATCAAGCGTCACAAAGGTCAACGTACGAATTTCTGTTCGGCGTCCGTGCCATAGCAATCCTCTATATAACAATAAGCATGTAATAATAAAAAGAACTGTAAATATAAGTGACCAGTTCTTTTTAAATATCTTCGTATGAGAACAGTCTGAGATAATTACGTGCTTTTTAACAATTCGATGGTTGTTCGAGTTAAGAATATAGAGCATACAGTCTAGACGTTGCTAGCGATCGTAGAGTTCACTGGCCGATCTGTGAAATTTAATATGCAGAAAAATATAAAACGTAAATTTTATTAAATATCATATTATACATATTTTAAAGACAAGTAATTATTATATATTTATTATTAATGAATGGATGATATAATTAGTAATAATACCAAATATAAGAATATAATTATAATATATTTATGTTTAAATTGAAAATTTATTATTATTATGTATTTGTAAATAACAATAATAAAAAGTTATGCTCATCCTTTTTATTATTATTGTGCCCGACAGGGTCCACAGTGAGACTAATTAAACTAACATATTACAATATAATGTTATCTATGCAGGGGCGTATCTAAAGCCTTAACGGGCTTAAGCCCCGTGGCCATAAAAACAATATATAATAGGGTACTATTGAAAACAGTTTCTTAACAAAATTACAATTCATTTATTAATAGGCTCCCGATTACTATAAGTCGGGGCCCCACAAATTCACGATCCTCCCCTGTCCGTATGGATACAATAATCATATGAGTATGTTCCGTAGCGACCGGCTCCACGTGCGCGAGTTCAAGTTCCACAAGTCGTCGTGTCACGACAACGCGTGCGCGTGGACCGGCGGCGCGCTGGTGGCGGGCGCGGACGGCGGCGCGCGCGCGCTCGCGCGGGACGTGTTCACGCGCGAGCGGCGCCTGCGCGACTGGCCCTGCCTGCTCGACAACACGCCGCCAGACCACCCGCACCGGCTCTACAGGGACGAGTAGGCGGCGGCATCTCTCATCCTCTTTATCTTCTCAACGGTGAGATTCCCTAACTGCATACTAGCACCAGGATTTTTAGTAACCGAGGAAAAAACTTTGTATGACGCCCTTTTTTTAAGGGAGGGGGGGCCCTTTGCAGTATATGCTATTTTTCTTTTATTAGGGATTTTCATTAGGTACTGGCACCCGGGGCAAGTGCCCCTATTTGCCTCCCCTTAGATCCGGACCTGACCAGCACGCGTAGTGTGACGGACTGGAAAAGGTTTTGTCTTTTTTTTATTTATTTCTTTACAATGGGCTCACTCTTGATCTCAATCTAGCCTAAGGACTTAGATGAGATCTATGGTGGGACGAGCTTGCCCGGAAGGAACCTATTCATTTTTGCCTGAAATAGGTCTGTCTACACCAAACGTTACGTGGATTTAAACTTTTCATTCCAGTTCCCTTGAGAAGTTTTCTACTCGTACAAAATAACATGACTCGTTTTTTTTTCTAATCGTCAGGGTAATTCTTTTAGCACAGTACCTGTAGCCTGGCAAGTGACACGGATGGGTGTTGGGCTCTTCTCCGTCACTGGAGACCTATCCACCGAAACCCCTTAAGGATACAATCCCTCAGGAATCAGACCTGGGAAGACGTGACCGCGTCTTCGGGATACCCACCCCTCTAACAGGACCCTTGGTCCTCCATCATGGAATTAACATGACACCTGAAAGCCTTTTTTTATTTTTCCGAAAACAATATTTCTTCTTTTTTCGAAATACTATTACGACTCCAAAGAAAAGCATTTTTTTGATAATTTATGATGCAACAGAGATAGAACCCGACCCTGCCTCTGATACCCAGATAATCTTGACGGATATAATTTTACCAAATTATTTTGTAATATTGTTCGAGAAAAAAAAAGAAGAGGCCTTCAGGTGTCATTTTAATTCTTACGATTTGTAGTTTATTTGTATCTTTACAGGTTATCTATCAGCGCATTTGCAGTGCAGCATAACATGAGCACTCGTCTCTTCTTCCTCCAGGCATGCCCTGCACAACGGATTATCAGAGACGCCAGATATTTATTAAAATGGCATGTGAGAATACCCACAATTAGTTTTAGAGTCTATCTAAGCACTTTACATAATTTCCTACGAGAACTATTAGACCACTGCTTCTCATCTAGATACATATAGACGAGTAGACCACGACTTCCCAATGGATGGTCCTTGTGGACGAGTAGACCACTGGATACACAAAGACTAGTAGACCACGACTTCTCATATGGTTACGCGAGGAAGAGTAGACCACAGCATCTCATCTAGATACAGCCTTATGTAATGACTTGTCCTTAAACTAGTAAGGTCTACTAGATCTCATCTGGATACACAAGAATGAGTACACAGTTTTTCTTATCACCCGTTCAGGAAGTCCTTCGGAAAGAAAGGGACCAGTTGATGCTATTTCGCTCGATTATTTTCTCCACGCTATCGCTACGCCACTGATGGTTTGTGATATATTGTTACGCCAATTTATGGAAAACATGGAGTATAGTGTCCAACAACTGCATGTTAGGTTAAGGACAACTCAAATCTCCTTTTGATTTTAAACCTTAAGTCTGGATAACTCAATAAAGTCCAAATTAACAGCAGACTGACATAGTGTGGTAACCTAACGTGTTGCTGTGTTACAATTCGAATAAAATGATTTAATTAACAAAAAAATGTATTATATTTATAAACACTTAAGTAATTTAGTTAACTTATTGTTACATATAATAAAGTTATATTCTTTTTTTTACCTTAATATATATTATTTTTATGCATACTTTGAATTTAATTGCAAAAAGCATTACAATACCAACAATTAGTGGAGAGAAAGTAGCAACTCTTTTATAGGAGTACCAGAATCTGATGGTCCAAACACAAAAGAAACAATCTCGATCTTCTTAAGGGGCCGTCCATTAACCACGTGATGTTTTAAAAGTTGATTTTTTTTTATACAAGTTGTCCTTGCTCGAAGATAGGAAGAGAACCAGCCCAGTTCCGTATAAGAGACAAGCAGGCGTGAGAGAATTACAAGGAGTAGATCACGATCGACTCCATTAAAGGCGTTCGAAAAGTCAATTAACACTAATACCGTCAGTCGTTTATCTTCCTGGCCGAAATCCAGACTGGCTCTCCAAAAGGATATTATAATTAAAAAGGAAAGCTACGAGTTGACGATGTAGCTGTACAGCTTTGAGAATCTTCGAAAGAAATGGAAGGACTGAAATTGGCCTATGGTTGAGGGTAGTCGGAGTTTTATTTTTTGGTAGCGGCGACACATGCGCTCCACGCCAGCTCCGAGGAATTAACCCGGTGGAAAGGGATCAATTAATGATATGTGTGATGATGAGGAGGACACTGTCTAAACACAAGATTATCATGCGACGTCTGATTACATCACATCCGACTGCGTTGGATTATAATTTTACGAATTTCGGACTACGTAGGTGCACTCGAGACCCGAGTGAGAGATGATAGCCTAAACTTGTAGGGCTGTCGCTTGTAAATTATTCAATCGTCAGAAATACATGGTCAATCAATCTCTAAAATGTAGTTTCCCCCGGTATGGTAAGCATCCGGGTACTTTGATACACTTTTTTTATACATAGACCAGGAGTTGACTGCAATATTTTTCATACTTACGTCATGTCATCAATTTGTCATGTATTTATTCAATTTTTGCTAAATAAACAGGCTACGAACAAAATAAGATAATGGAGATCTTAATTTTTAATAATCATGTGCTTACATACAGTTTCTATCAATGGCCCATATTTTTTATATTAAATTGTCTAATAAGCAAATATACAATTCAATATCAATTTCAATTTGGCGGCATAGAGGTTTAATAAATTAAACTACAAATTGATTTCTGGTAACGAAATCTTGAGCAGAAATAATTGATAAACACTTTTGATGGGTAAATAGCTACACAAAATTATAATTACCTACTTATCATATTATAATAAATTACCCAAATACCTAAAGAACGAAATACAATATACTTGATTTATAAAATGTGAAATACCATATACTCGATTTATAAATGTATTTACAATAAGTATTTTGGTTTAGTTTTCAAAGCTTGTTTACGTCCAGAAATTTTATAACGAGCGACAATACAGCGACGAGAAATATACGCAAGAACGGCGTACTAGCGATGACTGGCGAGTGCCTTAAACTCCTATAACTTCGATAATTGTATAAGTGTGTGCGTGCGACGCCGCATACGCACGGGCGCGCTTACATACAAACCATTTTCGGTACGTATGTATAAAGAGCACTTTCTCTTTATATTCTGCCAAAACCAAAGAAAAGGAGAAATCATTTAATGGGAGGTTTCAGAGAGAAAAGATATCTTTCAAAGCCTCAGATTTATCTTGTATGTTGGTAAAGGAATTAGATCAGAAATATATATTGAAATCAGTGGGAGAGAAAGAATGAGGGAGAAGATTGCTTTGTGATTTAATGAGGCCAAGGGATTTTAAGAAAATAACGGCGTTTAGAAGCTCTCACCGTCCGATTACAGCGATTTCTACAAGTCTTGAAATGAGCCCAGTTTTCTGTTGACCTTATTCGCAAAAATTTCCGAAAAGCTTTATCACGCCTTGTTATAGCTATGCGCATGAATGGAGTAATCCAAGGCGCAGGGGGTCTTTTAAGTTTGACGACACAACTGGTGCGTGCTTTTTATAAAAATTTAAAATAATACTGGTGAAAAGATTAATTTTATCATAAACTCCCACCACCGATGTAACATCAGACTAGTCAATAGTTAACGCTTCACCAGCAAGTTTATCAAGGTCTAATCGAGCGGCGTTTTGCAGTTTTATCATTTCAGGAGAGCGTTTTGGAAATTCAATTTTATAAGACAACAATTAAATCATGACGAGAGAAACCGGGCGCGGAAATTTGTCCATGGGACGAAATTAAATCGGGAGTGGAGACAATGACGTGGTCAATCCATGAAACACTGGTGTCAATATTATGATGGGTAGCATTGAACTCCACAAATGAGAAGTTAAAAGACTCAATTGTTGATACGAGAAACGAGAGATTTTAAAATATGATGTGCAAATGATCCAAAGACCGAAGTAAGCGAAAAATGTACTTCAAATGTAGTCGTCAAACACAATAGGGTATTTGACACTTTTCTAAAAACTATTTTAAATTGTTGTTTGCTACATTATAAACACACTGTCATAATATTTCATTGGAATCTTTTCTATTTTTGGTGAAAATAATTGTTAAAATTTAAATAGCCAAAAGCGCGCGAAAAACGCTGCTCTATGTAATGGCGCTGATCGTGACGTCACAGGCCAGTAAATATGTCAAATCCAGTAGTCCGTAAGTAACAACTGTCTTTAGAGTAAATTAGGGATGCTCGATATTGGAAAAACGTCGATATTGCCATCGAAGTCAACATTCGATGAAAACCATCGATGTTCCCCAAATATCGATTGTGTTGCTGTTAAAGGAATTGACCAGCTTTAGAAAAAAGCCTCTCTGACGCCGTGGAAGTAAATTTTTTAATGCAATCTTTATTAATGTGGGATAGGTGGATTCTACCCCTTAACATAAAAGTAATGGAATAAGACAAGTGTCATTAAAAATCACGCGGGAGTTTCACGGAGAGAGAACGAGCCCAACGAGCATAAAGTAACTTTTTTTTATATACATAAATGACCCTTTTCCGTTTTACACAGAAATTTTGTGGGATAGTGAGAAACTGTTTTTAATAGTTTTCTTCCTCCCTTGTTCTAAAAGTACAACACAAAGCAAACGTCACAAATTGTACTAGTAAATTAAATAAAAAATATCACAATAAATATATGATAGTGCCATGTAGATTATAGTGTATTGTTATTTATTTATTTATTTATTATTACAAGCTTATCGCTATTATTACAGGTAATCCCAATACAACAGCGTAGCCACATTATCTAAATACAATTATACTTAATCCCCATCACCATAACATAACACAAATTGAGCTACTTTAGTGAATTCACACAGGGTACAAACAAAAAGATCAATTCCTACAGATACCTTATTCAGAATCCGTATAGCTCGCGTCAGTGGGGCTTCATTTAGCAGGTTTGTCCTCCCGTGAGGCACTGCAAATAACTTTGGTTGACGCCGTCGCTCCACATACCTATCCGGAACACTTAGACCCACCCGGCCCAGAATCAACGCATTGCTAATTTTGCCTCTTAATAATTTAAAAATATATGTTACCATTGCCAATCCTCTTCTTACTTTCAGTTCAGTGTATCCGACCATACCAATGACGAACAGGGTGGGATACATAAGTGGATAAAACGGATAAATCCCGTATACTTTCAGGTACAAATATCTTAAAAATTTATTTTGAATCCGTTCTAACATCATACTGTATTTCATTTCATTAGGTGCCCAAATAATAGCATTACACTCGAGCTGACTTCTTACTAGTGCATTGTATAATGCTATTACTGACTTTATATTTGTAAATTCTTTACTATTACGAATAACGAATCCTAAGTTTTTATACGCTTTACTACGTTATATTTTTTAATATGCTTACAAAACGCAAAAAGATAGGTATGTTAGAAATAGACAAGATAGTATTAAGGTTAATGGGACGGGGGGTTTTAGATGGAACTTGCTCATATGAGGTAGGTTGTTTCAGACAGTTGAAGAGGATGGGATCAGTGGTACCTTTTTTGATTCCGCACTCGCACGTGGAACTATCTAATGTATCTTTGAAACTAAGACCGGTGAATAAAGTAACTTATAAGATACCAACGAGCGCTGAAGTTGACAGATTTATTTCTAATTTCCTAGGAAAATGCAAGCAACGAAAAACTATTTGTTTGCGTGCTCCAATTACGAGTGCAACCGGTGACATCTAGTATAAAATAGTTGAACTTGATATACGAGATCATCTAGCTAGTACATCTGGAGCACGTAAGATGGCCTAAAGGGTATCTTGACATTTTATTCATAAACATTGATGTTTGGCACGAAAACATCGATGTGCCGATGTTATCCAATTTAAAACATCGACGACAAAACATCGATGTTTATTAACATCGAGGAATATCTGTTGTCAATCAAACCTCATTTCAGTAAATAATAAATAAGTAATAAATTTCAAATTTTATTGACAATGTCATAGGTTATTGTTTTTTTTAATTCAATAAAAATGTCTTCGTAGATAAACAGCTAAAGTATTTGATTTGCTTAAAACGAGGCATAGTTTCTGCAAGTAATAAAGCGGAAGACCTGCAGGAACGTGAATTCATCCCAATATCGATTATCCCTAGAGTAAATTGAAATAATAATTTAAAAGAGAAATTGAAGTCGTAGAGCGTATTTTTTACGTTTTTTATTTTTCTCTGCTCTGGTTTTCTTTAAAAAGTGAGCTACAAGTGGTGCGTAGTGCCACAATGTACTAATACTTCTATAAATAACAAACAAACTTCGAGTCTAGAAAAAAATAGATTCACAATCACAATAGTATAGTAGCTATATAGAGTAGAGATGGTTGATAAAATTAAAAGGATTCGCTAAAAGTATTGAAACATTTTTATTTCATATCGATACATTTGAAGGTTTTCTTTATGGTTTTTTTCTTTGTCATTAACATTTTACGACTCATTTATATTTGTTGACAGGGCTCGCACTTTATAGCCTGTCGACCTACAGATGGATGAGACATTAGTACGAAAAAGAATGTTCTATTTTTTTATACATGCATATAGTATGTCTGTCCAAATGCATGGCATTTGATAATTAGATATCAGATACCGATGATTTTTTTTTTAAAATTAGTTTTTAACTTGGAGAACACTATATATCATCAAAATCGACTTTGTACTTTGAATTATTATAGTAAAGTTCAAGAAATAAGAAAAACATGTAAGTTGCTCTTTTTTTAAATTGATGGCGTTTTCCCTATTTCTTGGATCTTTTAAAAAGCTTAGTAAATGATTATTTTTTTCTGTATTTCTTTTTGGCAGTTCTTATCAATAGAAGCGGCAAAGTATTCTGTTATCAGTAAATGACTAGAAAGTACTCGATACCTACAGGCATCGATATTCTATGAATCTTCTAACACTACTTAGACATGACAGCTGATGACGTCACAGGCTAGTAAACAGAATCGTGATTGGTTGTGACGACGACCAATTATAGGACGTTTTCGTCGTTGAATAAATTCCTAAAAATATTGCATTTTCTTTACGTTATTTTACTAAATCTAAACATGTTTTTTCTGCATATGTTAAGATATAAGCTTAATTAGATTATTATCTATCAGGATGACCACAAAATGCAACTTATTTTCGATAGTGTCAAATACCCTATTTATACAAAATTTAATTAAAGAAAAAATATGTGGCTTTATGGTTTAGATCTCTATGCTAATTACGAACAAATAACAAGAAATATTACTAGAGATGGACCCAATAAAAATATCAATGAGAATTTGATTCGTATCGATTACAGATATCGATAAATCATTTCACAAAGCCGATTATATCATATGAAAGATGCCACTGATTTATAAATTTACTTTGGCTTCATTCGCTATTAGGTTTTGGTACGTTGGTATTTTTGGATATCGATATCGCTGTTTCTTCGATATCGAGGTATAATTATATGTCAATATTTTTGTGCGGTGATATATCAATATAAGTTTATTGGTTTTCCGATATATCGTTTCATCCCTATTTTTACATTACGCGATGACATACTTTACATATATGATCTTTTTGGTCTGTGGCTGTCTGTGGCGATGACGTTTTGCTTGTCAGTCCTGATGCAAGAAATCTAAAAATAAAGAAATTTGTCAAAAGATAAAAGTTTCTCTCCATATTCTAGAGCTAAATACATATTAAAATGTCTGAAATCAAAATCGTGGCAGCCAGTATTGTGAACTTTCTAAAACAACAGTTGGACAGTGATACTTTGAGTGTAGATTCCCGGGAAAGCGTTGAGGTTGGTGTGCAATGCATAGAAACCGCATTCGAATTAGGTCCAGAAGATGCAGCAAGAGGCGTAGATCTTCTACAGTTAATACGACAACAACGCGGTGGGCAGTCTGGTACGGACCGCGCTGAGGCAGAGCGTCTTAAGAACGAAGGCAACGAATTGATGAAAACTGAACGTCACCGTGAGGCACTCGAGAAGTATACGCGAGCAATCGAATTAGACCCCCGTAATGCAGTGTATTTCTGTAATCGTGCTGCCGCCCACTTCAAATTAGGTGAAAACGAAGCTGCAGTTGCAGATTGCACAGCTGCTTTAACATTGCAACCTGACTACGGCAAAGCTCATGGCCGATTAGGGCTAGCATTAACTGCGTTAGAAAGACATCGTGAAGCACGGCAAGCCTACGCTCGGGCGGCACAGCTCGAACCTGACAATGAATCTTATAAACAAAACTTGAAGTTAGCTGATGAACGACTAGCACAACGTGGTGAACGCGGCCCTATGGATCTCGGAGGCTTATTACAGAATCCTGCCCTATTAAATATGGCAACTGAAATGCTCTCTGACCCAAATATGCAAAATCTTATTTCGGGGTTAATGAATAACACTACAGCAAATACGCAAGGCCAAGGTGCTGGAGGAATGAGTGCTTTGTTGGAGGCTGGTCAAGCTCTTGCCCAGCATATGCAAGCTGCTAACCCTGAGCTAGTAGAACAACTGCGTAGGCAAGTACGCCCACCAGGGCCTGGTGGCAACCCACCTCCAAGTCAGTGAAGCACTATCATAGACTATTAAGCCTCTAAACAACGAGATGCAAGTCTCCTAGAATTTATGTCTGTACAAAAGTATGCTATATGGTGAACTGTAACACTAATATCATATTTTATTTTTCAATTTACAATTTTTCTATCTAGATGATAGCATTGAAATTACCAAATTACACATCACTATGTTTCTATGATAAAAACCAAATAAGAGAAATTTTTGTTTATTTTGAAAAATGAATATTGAAGAACTTATACAAAAATGGTGTAATTTTATATCAAGTGCATTTATGTTTATTATTATTGCCTTATATTTATACCTATATTTTTCATGTGACTACGTAGCTAGGGTAAAGGTGATATAAAATAATACTTTGTAAGGATACTCTGATCCTAAACGACTTGGTGTGTAAGATTTTAGGTTTGGCAATATTACTATTTACTTTGACTATAAATATGAAATGTCCAAAATATTTAACATTGTAAGATGCATAATCATTTACAGCGATATGTTGAGAAATTTAAGTGTCTATCATAGTTGATTGACTAAGAATATAAATGGTTTTGTTATTCAATAAATTGATTTCAATTGAATGCCATTATTTTTGGTAACCATGTGTTGATGTGTCGTTACTTGCTAGTGTAGCATTAAATCTTCGAGTGAGTTATGATTTACCTATTTTAGGTATTGCGAAATATTATGTTCACTATGTATTGTATAAATTCCATTAACAAATTAACTATGAGACTCTCTCCCACTAGTAATAGTTCAACCTTAGTTCAAACTAAATAGAATATGTTTTTATTGACAGCACATACCACGTACACAATTTACAGTATGATTTCAATTTTTAATGAATTCATTCTTAGATGACATGACAAAAATAAGCTTTTACAGTGCTACACTTGAGGAGATCGAGTGTGGCGCTGTTGGAGTAACGTTAGGCCAGCAGCACCATAATGTTTTTAACTATCTCTAAAAACATTTCCTTAAGCAAATTATCATTGTTACGTCAAAGACTGATATATAAATCTATAAAAATGAATTTCCGTTCGTTAGTCTCGCTAAAACTCGAGAACGGCTGAACCGATTTGACGAATTTTAGTCTTGAAATATTCGTGGAAGTCCTGGGAAGGTTTAAACGATGAGTAAATATAACAAAATTAAGAGTGTAATACTAAAAACGGCAATTTGATTTTCCCATACAAACTGTTCTTAGCTGTCAAACGTTCAGTTGACGATCAATATTTATGGTCGTGTAGTGGTCAGTTTACGCAATATTAATATGGTTTTTATTAAGAGGTAAGTGATACAAAGTTCACCGGGTCAGCTAGTAAGGGATAAAATGTTGACCTGCACGCGTAGCATGACGTACTCGAGAACGTTTTGTCTACTCGCTAATGTCACTTTCTCGGGTCGAGGGTGAGATTTTATGAGCGCACCCGAGAAAAGTGACATTTGAGTGTAAACAAAACGTTCTCGAGTACGTCATGCTACGCGTGCAGAAAAGCTTTTTGAAATTCATTATAAATCATGAATTTACTTAATAACCGCGAGTGTTCCAAAGTGTAACATTGTTATCTGTCCCTATTTCCAAACAGAATGGTAAGGGACTATATGGACTGAATTTATTTCAAAATTCAGAATTCAAATCACGCTGCCAGACACCAAGAACATTTTGCGAGGCTCTTGTTCCTAATTAAAGCTTAGGTTAGGGATGTGAAAGTTAAGAAAAAAACTGGTAAACACTGCTTTCTTAACTATTTATTACACACTAATTATAATTTATAAATCAATACATTTACATTTCTTTATGTACACACAGTAGCAAAATGTAAAAACACGTCACCTCCCGAGGTGCACAAAATACAATCCCAAATATCAAACGCATATAAAAATCTGTATTTACATATATGTATTAATATTATTATCATTGCCCCGTAAATACGTTCTATTCGACAAAGTGAATCGGTGAAATTATTTAAATAAGTTAGGTGAAACAATACAGTTATATTTTTTTTATAAAAATCCAGTAGATTCTAATGCTCTAAATTGCGTCCTTTAATTCGTTATTATAGTAAAGGCACTGAAAACTACAAAATTGCTTAAATGCAGAACAGCACACGAAATTTAGATAATATTATATAATGTGAAAAAATAATATATCTTTTAACAATTTTTTTATTGCAACATTCTAATACTTATTCAATTTTAAAGGATATTTTACTCAAAACATATGTAACTTTTAATAACAAATAAACTCAAAATAAGTTCTAATTTCAGGAAGTTTATTACTACTTCTTCCATTATAAATAAGTACCTATATATTTTTTTAGTAAAATATAATGGGAGTAAATAAAAATGTATAGTTTTACTAATTATAGGAACAACTTACTGATTAATAAATAATAAGAAATCTTCAGCCAATCCAATAAATATTGAAGTAAAGCACCACATAAACTTGAAATAAATTTAGTATATTTTATAGTGAAATTGCGTTATCAATGTGAATATATGTTAAATACTTTTATTATAAACTATTTAATTTAAAATGTCTTCAGTTGAAAAATCAAATAATTATAAATAATAATGGCGTGCGTCCCCCCACTTCCCCACAAATAGACCTACATCTCCACGCGCATAACGTCATTGACCGTACCTCGACGTTTGTGAAACACTATACTGAAAAGAGTACGTTGTTGTTCCTTAAGCCCGCTTGCAACGCCCTCTGCCACACAAACAGTAAATTAATATTAACGAGGACACACAAACATAACAGGTAATAACAAATCTCGCTAGAAAATCAAAAGATTTTTGCTTTCAATTTTATTAGAACAAAACCTCTTCGGTTTATAGAAGAAATTTATTGAAAATGTGTAAAATATCAATTCCGATTTTAAACAATGATTCAATTAAGTGTATGCATGTATTTGATATTTATATTGGACAGTCGAGACAAACTGTTTCTTTAAATTTCAAATGTAGTGTTCACTTCTCTAAAACTATCAACATACATACAAAAATAATATAACATATAAATAAGTATGTCAAAATATATACCGCAGGACTCATAGCCACAATGATATGTTAACATGCTGAATAAATTAATGATATAAATTAAAAATAGCCATGGGATCTTCAGTTATATAATGGCCCAGCTTTTGCTTTAAAAAAGTAAGCATGGAAAATATAATTGAAAACATTGTGGAAATTGTGATCATACAATGATCACATATGAAATATATAATTTATTAAAAATAAAGTCTGTTTTTATATTATTCTCAAAAATGCCTCCAATTACTTTTGTTCCTGTCCACTGCCCATCCTAGACCATTTACACACAACAATACAAAAGCCAAATGAATATCGTCAAATAACGACCTTATCTCAATGGCGTTAAATAGACGAAAACATATTCGATATAATAGCTTATATGCAGTTAAAGTGGTATCGATTAAGCTCGCAATTTATTCGATTAAATCAGTTGCGTTTCGATGGCGGTACGAGATGGGGGGGTAGATCCGATGGTAGATCGTGTCCGTCGATCTTGACTCTGATGAGGTGCATAGCCAGGGCGAACTCTTCATCGTCTAAGAAGCCGTCTTTGTCTATATCAGACAACTTCCAGATTTTCCCCAGCACAGAGTTGGGCAGTTTAGATTTCACCATCTCCGTCTTGGCCGCTGTTGAGAAATGTCGGTTTATAATATATTATGGCATCTACTAATAATTTATACGTTAGGATGGCCTCAGTATAACTGACAATGGCGTTTCAATAGCTTTGTGGTGTGTCATGAACTGTGTCAAAAAATACGTTATTGAAATGCCAGAATCATATTAATGTTAGTAGATTTTATGCACAGTAGAACCTATATGGTGACTAGCTTCATTTAATCTTATGATAAAGTCAATGATGAAGTTACTTTAATTACAGTAAGTACTTATCGCAAAATAAATAGATAATTAGATACCATCACGGACACCATTCTGTACGCAAGATAAATGCCTGTGTTACGTAATTAAGTAGTAATCCGAACACAAACACTTAAACAAATATTGAAATGTCTCATTTCAACATTGACCTAAACGATAATAATAAACGCACTCACGCATCTGCAAGATGGATGCACGTCACTTCTAGATTCAATCCAAATTAACCCATAATTTTCAATAAAACATTATCCGATTTAATTAAGGCTGTAAAAGACAGTTAATCTTAAATATACTTTTACTTAAATTAGCGCCATCTAGGATGACCTATAATAATTACAAACTGATAAAAACCCAACAAGTTTAACCGTCAAAGATAAATAAAGACTATAAATAATACAATGTGATTACATAACTAACCTAATTAAAACAATTACTTTTTTTAGTGAATGAATGACAAATCGTGTAAACAATAATTACCTAATTTGATTTCAAATAAAAACTTTGTATAATGTAATATAACCTATAAACGACCTACCCATAAAATCAATGACCTTATCACTACCAGACCGTAAAGACTGTTCAAATCACCAATAAATTATAACATTTATTTCATTTTAAATACAATACTATAAGCATATTGACACTTCACAGTAAATTATATACCTAAACAAAAATATTTTACAATCATTCCACTCGTACGTAACACGACCGTAGACGTCGTTTCAAAGGTGAGAATGGTAGTTATTGGGAATATTCTTGTAAAATCATAATAATTTTAATATTATTTATTGCATAAAAACTTGGGACACATTACAAAGAACGCCATATAAAGAACGGCATACTTACTCTCGAACGTAACCTCTTGATTGGCTAGCTAGCGCCAGAGTATGCTAGTGTACCCCAACCAAGAGTACGAAACGGCACAATTGCAATATCGATAGATGGCGATTGCGTTCGAGAGTAAGCATGCAGTATACAAATGGCGACAATATAGTGGTTACACCAATCTAAAAACTTATGCTATTTCGAAACTAAATCTATATTTCACTAGCACTCATATGTCAAGATTTTCTTATTACTCCCCCAACGATTTTCTGTATTTTAGTGAGATTCTGATACTTAATTTATTACATTAGTAAATACAACATTTTTTAAATTAATTTGTGAACTTTTAATTAAATACTTAATTATTTACGACACACACACACAGTTATTTCATAAATGAACGTGCTATCTAAGCCCTGCACATCAATGATTGGACTACCGATTTAAATAAAAAGTGCATAGCTCTATTCAAATATTATTTAAACCAATTAAATAAGTTTAAACCGAAAACAACCAACCGAACTCTTTTCAATGCGGGTAGCATTGAGAAGTATCCAGATTAAAAATGGTAAAGAAATAAAACCCATAAGCAAGATTCAATAAGAGGTACCATTACTGATGTTGCGAATAATATGTTTCAAAATATTAACAATATTGTGACGTCGAAAGATCTCGAAGATAGAATGGATTCGTACAACTTCCTTTTCAGGACCGAAAAATAACATTTTACCATGTTCAAAAAACGATTGCGGCTTCTTTTCAATGTTAAACTCCAAATATATTTCACCCGTAAAAAGATAGAGTATCGTTATAAACGCTACCTGTGTTGTTATCATTATAGACATTACATTCAAGACTATAAGAAAAATTAACTTTGAGAAATATATGATAGGATGAAATATGCTTGTGTCGTGATTTTCTTCTAAATTCAAATTAGCATTAGGAGCATTCCTACCATCTGTTCCCACAACATCATCAAGTTTACTGTCGTCACTGCCTATATCAGAATTTCTGGATTCTGAACGATCAGTTTCTACGTGATAATCAAAACTAGTGCTAGCACCTTGGAGAGAGACCGTATCATTTAAAGTATTGATAGAAACTGCATTTGAGAGTCTGCGATTGTCTCCCTCATGTTTACAGTTTGCTATAAATTGTGCGATCATATTAGAATTTTGTGTCGCTACTGCTAAAGTGTCAGTAAGTCTATTTAAAGTATCACCACCAATACTATCGTCTTTACGGTCTTTCAAAGCCATGCATAGTTCAGTTAATGATGTACAATTTTGTGTGGAAGAGAGCATAGCGTCTAAAGCTTTGTTTATAATAATTGTACCGCGAAGGTGGGGATTACAAATATACGAAGGTACGGAAAGTTGCATACCAGCTCCTGTTACTTTTCCATCGATGGGGTTTAGAGATTGGAAGATCTGGTCGTATCGGGGCTTCTCTTTGCTGCAGATCCATTCGGGGTCGCCGTGGCCCGCATCGACACCCTCTCCCCTGCCGTAACCGAATGGTGAAACTTGATCTTCCACACCTTCAAATGCACCACCTATAATCATTAAACAATTATCTTTATTCAAGAGACCGTTCTTTCTATTTAATATTAGGTTTTAGAAATGAAAGCATAACGACATTTGTATTGTTTTTTTTTTCAATTTGTATCATAAGTTTTCCTTTGTGCTTATTGAGCAGATAGTTGGTTCCATCACCACCAGCCCTTTTACGTCCCCACTGCAGGGGCTCAGGCCTTCCTTATGGATGGTTAAGGAGGATGGGCCATGACCCTCCACGCTGGCCCAATGCGGATTGGAGGGTATTGACGACTGCAAATGCAGCCGGGACCAACGGCTTAACGTGCCTTCCGAAGCTCGAGATAATAATTTTTGGTCACCCATCCCGCGAAAGTTGCTTAACAACTACGATCGCGGGCCGCGGCGCTTATCCACTACGCCACCGAGCTACTCCATAGTCATAGTTAATTATCAATGTTTCGTGCCTTTCAGTATTTGTGCTAAAACTAACATAATCTTGTTTCTATTCTATTACTCATATTGCGAACATAACACGATAACTAGTTTTACTTTTTGAAATAAACCTCGTAAAACAGAATAAATTACTATTAACAAAATATCTGATAGTACGTGATCTGTAATGCAAACAATCGTTTTTGAAACAAAATATAATGCTTAGGTAATAACAACAAATAATTTCATGAACGTAAGACATGACCTTGATTCTCATTGTATGTTAATTTCTTCACCTAAAATGTATCAAAACTATGAAATTAAATAACATTGTATCAAAAATGTACCTACTGAATGATGTGTATATTTACTTATACAAAATGTTCGTTTAATAAACTCTCTTTGAATTGAACATGATTATGTAAGATTTAATTTAATACTAAAATTAAATGCTAAAAGGTAAGGTTAAAATATATATCAATATTAAACACCATCAGATACATCAAATACTTATAATAACGGGTATTAGACGGGATTTTTACACTGACCTGCGCTGACGTTTCGGCCAGGGTGCGCCGGCCGTGGTCAGGACAAGAAAAAAATCTCGTCTAACACCCGTTATTATAAGTATTCAATGATGCAGCGTGATAGTTTCAAAGTGAATATGATACATTTTTCAGATTCCAAGACGATTAGCTAATTGTTGTGGTAGGTACCTTCGTTGTCTCAGATGCTCCATAATATGCGGGGGATATTATGAGACAACGAAGGTACTACAACACTCAGACCCGAGACAATATAGAAAAGTTCGGGTTCGATCCCCGGTTGGGTTAGTGTAGAAACAATTTTCTACATTGCCCCAACCGGGAATCGAACCTGGATCACAGAGATGGCGATACCTTGAAACCAGAGTGCGAACCACTCATCTACGGAGGTCTAACAAGGATTTGTATGTCAGAACACTTTTGCATCATGTTAGTCCGATCTCGTGTTATTTTTATATTCTAATTATTCGTTGAAATAATTCAGTACCTACAATTATTACAAATAGAAAGACTAACTAAGTAGCTAGCTAGCTACCAAAAACAAAACAGAATTTCGTCCTGTGACGATTTGTACTTAAATTGCCCATTCTTTATAGTATCGTACTGAAAATGCATTGAAAAAAATCTCAATCACTGACACTCGTAACGGATACAACAGGAAGGTACTTTACTCGGCCTTCCAAGGTCGTTTCACTTATATCTTTGATTCAGGGTACAGTTCACAATTGACCTGAATGAAAGTAAATAAAATAACAAAGAACCGTATTCCTAATTCGGGAACCGTGGGAGTTCAATCTCATAATCATAACAAATTTGGCAGATAATAAACTAAGAATGAAACAATTTTAGATGAAAACGAACCACAGTCCAAAACTATTAACAATATTCAGAAGACATTATTTCTTGTGCGATATATTCGAGTTTTAAGATACAAGTTTAAGGGGCTTTAATTATCGCGGAAAAAAATCGCGTTTACTAAACTACAGATTTTCGCGATTGCTTAGTGGTGCATCAGCACTAGCGGAGGAAAGATGTTACGCGGTTCGTCTCCCGTCTACTATGCGGCCGCCGAAATAGACGAAATTGATATTGACATGTTTATAATGCTAATTTAAAATAGGCTTCCCCTATGGGACAAATTTCAGGCAAACTACCATGATAGGCTATTGAAAACGAAGTTATGGGAAGAAATATACATTGAATTGAACCAAACAAATTAAAATTGTTATGTAGTTCATTTTTAGGGTTCGGTACCCAAAGGGTAAAACGGGTACCCAATTATTAAGGCTTTACTGTATGTCTGTCACCAGGCTGCACCTCATGAATCGTGAAAGTTAGACAGTTGAAACTTTTACAAATACTAAAAATCAGAATAAAATAACTATTTAAGTTACAAACAAACGTGATTTTTTGCTCATTTCCGGTGCGGAACCTTACGTGTTCGAGTTTTTAGAAGTTCGTTTTTACCGGGAGCTACATTAAAATGCGTAGCTGCGTGCAAAAATTGCATTGCGGACATCACTTAAAATTGATTAATTAGAAGAAGATCATGCCTTCAATGTCTTGTAGTTTACCTTTAATATAAAACACATTAATATTGGTCAACTCTTGACATAGCTCATTTCTGAATAGTCCAGTCCAAATAACAATTGACTGCAACTATAACTTCCAATGTTAGACAAGGTCAACAACACATTATCAAAACAACATCCAAGGGGATCGTTTTTATCACTTCACAATCCAACGCACCTTTTTAATAATCGCAATTTTTTTATTCATTCATTATTTAGAAATCAATTCCAAGGATTTCTCAATCAATGGCTATTATGCGAATCGCTATATAGAATAAAATGATAGTTGACAAAAACAGATGATACTTCACGGTTGGAGATTTAGATTGTATACTTTTTATATGCTAGATCCCAGTACTCCGTTATGTAACAGCTTAGATGAGGAAAGAAACAAAAGGAATAATGGTCAGTAATAGATCTAGATTACGAGACGCGAATCTTCTAATCTATGACGACACTTCATTAAGTTCTATTGTGGTGCAATTTTTTTAGTGTTACTGGACATTCGATAATTGAAAGGCAACTTGTAATTTTATTGAATGCAATCGATATCGATGAACATTATATCAAGTGTTGCCCGATGTTATAATAATGTTGTAGCTGACCTTAGTTGTTCTCAAACACATTTCATTTGCGGGTTAGTCTTTATCATACATAATTTGATTCGAAACAAAACGTTACGTTGGTTTTGACTCGATTAAACAAACAAAAATTATTTATAATTAATGGCTCGTACACCAATTTCAAGATGTCGTTAAGTTTGAAGTCCAAACCCAGGACCCGCTCGGTCAATGTAGAAAATTGGCTTATCTAATTTGTCTCGGGTCTGGGTGTTATGGCAATGTTGCCAAAAAAGTACAGAAATATTAAATAATGTAAAATCATATATCATACCAAGCAACGCAAATCTCAACTCAGTGTAATGCAAAATTGTACCAAATGATAAGATCTTATGACAAGACAAGAAAGTGTATATAACTTATGTAAGCATAGGCCAAAACTTGCAACATTTTGGTAAATATTCAGCTACCACTATATCGTATTAATAGATGAACTCAATAACTCTTGGAAAGAACATCTATAAAAGTATGACACATTCAAGATACAAGTGGTTAGACATGACTAGTATTATCTTATCAGAATCCGAAAATAAATATACTATCACCATCACAGTTGCGTAAACTGCGAAAAGGTTTGAATAATTTGGACACTAAAGTTTTAGCAGCGTCTTATTCCAGACAACCTATATATGAACCCTGAATACCATATTAGAAAGGTAACGTTCGGTCATTTCTAGTATTGGGATAAGATTGTAGTGATAAGAGTCCTCTGACTCGTTAGCTTTGGAATAGGCTAATGGGCCAGACCTAGTCACGTAAAACATCGTTGTGGGCAAAGATTCTTACAACAATTATAAAAAACATCGTTGTGGGCAAAAAACAACAATTGTAAAAAAGTTTTTTGAAAGAGAAAACTTGTATCGGAAAAGAATCCTAGCAAGATATGAATGATTCAAGGCTTTCTAGTATTTATGCATATGAATGCTACAATTATATTTAATACTTCGAATGCAGGTGTCAAATTAATGGCGCGCATGCTCAGCCACTAAAGCACGATGTAAAATTAATTTGCCGCGAATAACTAATGACTGTATACTATTTTAGGAAAAAAACTTAGGTTTATCCTGTCCTGATGATTAGTTTTTGCAAAAACTAACGCAAAAACCTTATTATACTTAAATAAACAAAATACAAACTAAAAAAATAATATACTCAAAATAATAAAAATAGTTGCTAGAGAAGCGAAGATGTTTTGCGTTTATCTTGCCAATATCAGACCAAGCAATAGATTGATCAGCAATCAACATTGAGCAAACATTAAATGTCAATCATTCAAAGTGTTTAAATGAGACGCAATAGGGTTCTAATAAGAAGTACGCACTACAAAGCTACGACAGGACGCAATTACAATAAGTAATAATTATGAGAGAACTGAGTAGGAGAATATGAAGTTTACTGATGTGAAAATTAAATGGACCTTATAATTAATACAATATCTAACCTACTTAATAAACTGTAAACCTCATATGTTAATCAGGTGTTATGAAATGCAATTCTTGTAATTGTTTACTTCATTGACATTCTGTAAACTAAACATGATGTATCACGACGAGTTTACATTTGAAAAGTGTTTTCTGCAAAGTTTTTAATTACGCAACTTAAGCAAAAATGCAAATAGAAAACAGAAACCAATTGAAAACTAAAAATATTAATGAAAGGTAAATTTGAAACTGTAGAATATATTGAAGGAATATTTAATGGACGAGGTTTTATTAACCTTAGTACCTGTAGTACAATAAAACAAACAGAACTAATGAAGAGAAATCGGAGACTCGATGTAAGTTAACGAATGAATTGATACTCATAAGTCATAGTAGATATTCTTGTAAGCGCTTTGTTGTCTACATCG